TTCATCATTCTGTCTTACTGGGCTGCATTTATTTGCTCGCCCTATTTATCTGACTTGTTATCACTCGGTTATTGTTGGATTCAGTTAAGAGTTGAGGAGCACCTACAATTGATAGCAGGGGATTTCAGTGGGTGGTTTCCAGTGGGCGCCAGCTGCACACCTGCTGCCAGTGCTGTCATAATACAGTTAAATAATGTTATTCATACATTTTATTTGTAATGCACTTTACATTTCACTGAAATCTCAAAGTGCTAGTTCAACAGTTAGGAATTGTTATGACTTCTGGTGGGTTTAGCCTTTGGTCTGCCCCTTTTACTTGGACTGATGTTTGAAACACTTGAGTTTAGCCTCTGAAAGGACTAGTAATTAATTGAGGTTAATGAATTGGGTTGAAATGTAGCCTACATGTTACATGTAGGTTGTATTTTACTCTGACTGGTTTTGACATCACTATTCTGTATTTTTCTGACTTCCTTGTAGCTTGGAAAACACTTGGCTGCCTGAAAGCTTTATTTTATATTCTGAGCAAAATAACTGACCGTTTTTAATTGAATCTGATCGTTTTGAGACCAGCTGTTTCATTGGGTCTGGCAGAAATTGTTTGGCTTTTTTCCAGTGCAATCATATTTCCACTTGGCCTTTTCAGTGCCAGGAGTCGAGACAATCTCAACTCTAATCTAATCTGGAGTGAGTTTGGAGCAAAGAGTCATCAGTACTTCTGCACAGAGGCACCTTTATAGGCAATATTATTACCTCGGCTGTCGTCGCACAGACAAATGTTTTGGTTCCATTGTAGCGTCGGGGAAAGTCATCTTTTAAGATTGTCCAGCTGCATGTTTGTGTGCATATTTTCCCATGATTTTACGTTTTTATCTCTGCCTTTGTTCCATTCTGTCTTCAGCGCTTGAGCTGTCCTGATTGGTCAGTGGGTTAGTCAGGTCATTCAAATGAGGGTAAAACAGCTGCTCAGGCTTTAGTTTGAAGGCTTATTAGCCACCAGACAGATATTCTGGAACAAGTTTCCCACTGATGAGGGAAATAAGCCCTGGCTAAAGATTGGGCACTCGGGCAGCTTGGGTGTTCATTTCTAGGAAGTGAAAGCATCATTCAGATTTTCTCTGCTAATATTTGAAATGCAAAAATATGAAAGTGGGAGTGCAACCTAAAACAGTCACTATGATTTTGGTCATTTTTGTTGCCGTGCGCCATGACAACAACATTAGAAATATTCTCCTTTTGCTGTATTTGAGTAGCCTGGCAAGCCAGACTAAATAAATGTATTATTTATACATTATATACTCGATGGGCCCACCATTATGGACCAATCACAGCTCTTTATGTGTTTGAAACCCCTCTAGAGAGCTGTGATTGGCTAGCCAGAGTCCTGGTAGGAGCTGTGGAGGTTCCAATGGAGCATGCCTAGACCAAACTTTGCAAAGCAAGAATTTGGTCTAGTTCACTAGGCTAGTTGAGAGGATAGTGATCTTTAATCTGTATGGTTGCTTTCCTCTGCAGTGTGTTTATGACTCCAGGGAGGATCTTAGTGTGCCAGAGTAATAAATGTTAATGTGCAAACAGTCTCACAATGACCTCATCGATTTCCTGTTGGTCACTGTAAATAAAAAAGCAAATACTGTCACTGGTAAGCATTTTCACAGTAAAACTAAAGATTTCAGTTTTTTTGTAATTGTAAAATAAAAGAACTCAAACGGGTGGACATGTTTTAGTGAAACGTTTGTCATTATGTTTAACAGTTTTATCTCATTCTTTGTTTTTATCTTATCTGTTTGGTGTAAAGCTAATTATGTGTCTGTTGCTGCTGCCTTTTGGTCAGATGGTCCTCGTAAGTGAGAATGAGTTCTCCATCTCCTCATCTGATATAATAAATAACTGGATGAACATCTACAGGTGAGACTGGAAAAATTATAAAATGGTGCAAAAGTTCATCAGCAAGTAATTTATCTAATCTAATCTATGAGACAGTCATTCCATGCACATCCAGATGTTGCAGCCTTCATTAGTCATAACTGTGATGATTATATCTTACAGCTGATGAAAAACCCACATTCAAAATCTCTGACAGAGTATTGTGAATAGGTTCGATATTCTAGACTCAAAGCATCACACTAATCAGCTGATGAATCCAAAACACCCGCAAATAGTTCCTAAGCCTTTAGATGGTCTCTCAGTCTAAGTTGTTTTACTGACATAAATGGACCTTTGCATCAGATTTTAATTTTTCCAGTTTCACCTGCAGGTCTGGATTCACTTTTGGAGTCATTTTAGTTAAAATGATTAGTGTTGGGAGTAACGTGGTACAAATGTAATTAATTACTATAATGCATTGCTTTTTGCTGTAATGTGGTAATGTAAGGCATTACAGGGAAAGAAAATGGTAATATTTACTCGGTACAATTGTCAGTAATGCGGTAACTACAATGCATTTTTAAACCCAGAATCAAGATGTGGGTTTCCTAAAAATTCAAATTGCGGGAAGCCTGAAAAAAGATCCAGTGTCCACATTTATGACGTCATTTATGGACTCAGCTTTGCTGGCATTCTATGAGCAGAGAGGACGCAGTGGTGATGGCTCAAATACTCCTGCTGCGCGCGGCCGCTGTTATATTCACAAAATCGCTCCACCAAAACAAAGTAATTTGTTTGTGATCATTTATATCAGCCCATTCTCTGGTACTTCATGTACTTTTCAGCTGAGTTCATAATCTGTGCCCCGGTGATTTCAACTCATTGCTGCTGGAGCGCAGCGCATATGAAGCTTTTTTTTTGGCGTTCGGTAGATCCCTTTGGCTGATTAGTTAGAAAGTAGGAAATCTAATAAACAGTTTTTCTGGAAAACAGAGAAAACATGCAGCATGCAGGAAGGTTAGAGAGAGAAAGGTCAGGAAATTATTCAAATAAAATCAAGAAAACAAAACAAAGTGCTTGAAAAGAAAAAAGTAGGTAGAATTATCCCCAATACACATTTTTACCAGTGAAAAGCAATAATATAAAAGCATTTAATATTTATACATGTGATAGAATCAGATCACCCCAGAAGTCAGTCCCACATCCAGGGCCGTATCAAGGCATTTGGGGACCAAGGCAAATATAGGCTTGGAGCCCCCACCACCCCACTCCCTGCTCAGTTAATATAAGATGGCAGCGTGCTGAGAGTACAGATTGTTGTTGCTTTTATTTAATAAACAATCATTTTAAAGCACTGTTATTATATCTGACTGTTTTTAACAGCAATCCTAGCTCAGACACCACATCACCTTCCACATATATGTCATGAGCTCACTGAGCGTCACATTACCAGATTCATATTGAAGTCGTATTGGTGAAAGTAACTTAAAGTAATGCAAAAGTAGTGTAATGCCTTACATTGTAAAATCGGTAATATTGTAATATAATGAATTACTTTAAAATGAGGGTAACAAGTAATAAATAATGCATTACAGTTTTGAAGTAACTTGACCAACACTGAAAATGACCACCGACCACCACCGCTAGTCGGAGATGGCACAAAAACAGCTTCACATCTACACATCTTGTGATGTGTGAGACTAAAACGCCATCATTTCTCAACAGAACATCACCTTTGTTCCAAACTCTGTGTGAGGGATCATGCCGAATGAGTGGAGGAACACAGGCAGTTTCCAAAAATAGACTCTTTAATTTCCGTTTTGTTTTAAAATGTCCTCACAAAAACAGCTCGAGCTCATAAAAGAGGTCAGACAAACAAACTGAAACTCAATAAACTGCTAACTTAACATACTGACTGACTGAACCATAACCGACCTCCCAAACAAAGACACACAAGGGTATATATACACATTGGCTGATCAGACCATATGAACAATAGGGATTACTAGACAAACATTTACTAACTAAAACTAAAACCACAAATCAGTACAGTCAGATTGTTAATAAACCTAAACATCCTAACCCATAAACCTAACTATTTAACTTCAAACTTAAATTAATTAACAAATGACAAAATAATAAATTAAAGGAAATTCTTCAGTCCCCTCTTCAGGGAGCTATTGGTTTGGTCCCATCAGCTCCTCCTGTATTTAGCTGACAGAACCCCTTCAACCCTGTTTGCCTGTCCCATCTCAGGAAGCAGGAAGTGGAGAACCCCAGCACCGGTAAGAGAAAACAAATCAACTTAAATTGAACAAATGAAAGGCATAAAATACAGCAGTTAACTAAATGTGCGCGCTTACAATTAGAACTAATGCATTTCAGCCATCTAAACAATAAAGCCAAAGAAATATAAACATACAAACTGCAATCATAAAAGTGCAAGAGTGTACTTAACATTCACCGTTGTGTGGACATGGATGTGGCCATCACACTCTGGCATGAAATGCAGCAAGCAGTATCCATCTCTTTAAGGAACATTAGGCTTTTAGTTCATTTTGGTCAATAAATCATATTGATTACACTGAAAATTATTATTTTACAAGATGAATTATTATTGTGTTTTGAGAGTAAAGTGCCAAAGATTTAAATAATTTGAGGAACCAAAAGAAAACTGCACACAGAACCATATCCTCTTTCTAGAAACTAACACAGATTATCAGTTTTAATCTATTTTAACACCAGTGTGTCAGCACAGTGAAAACCCTCCTGGCACCATAATAATCCATTAAGATTAAAAGCTGCTTTCCTGATGGGGGTGTAGAGGTTGGGTGGAAACACCTGAGGCAAAGGCTGGTTGTAGCAAACAAATGGTTGTTAGTTTTCCTGTAAACTGATTATTTTATTGACATTCCCTGGTCGTGTTAGCCCCTAAATGGGTTCCATTATGGACAAAAACAACTTGGGTTGGTAAAATATTTTAAATGGATAACCCTGTACTTTGAGTGTGGTGAAAGTGTGTCACTGAAGAAGACCGCCCCAATGTGTGTTTTCCTGATGTGAGTTTCTTTCTGTTCTCAGGGGCGTGTTTGTTCAGCATGTGGGCTCTGATGACTTGTGTTTTGTTTCAACAGCAATCACCTGACACCATACCTGGACCAAGCACTGGATCCGCCATACACAAGGTAAGAATACAAACACACACACACACACACACACACACACACACACACACACACGCACACGCACACGCACACACACACACCATGAGGCAGAATAAAATGTTTGTTTGTAAAAAGATGACATCAGAGCGACTTTTTTGGTCTGTTTCCAATCTAGTTTCACTTCCTCCACATTCAGGCTCATTCAGTCATCTATCACCAGGATTTAGTTGGGGAACTACTCTTAAGTGCAGCGTTCCACAGAAGGCCTGAGGGCTTACATATCTCTTATGCATTATTTTCTTTCATCACTGAAAGCTCAAAACAAAAAAATAAACACTTAGGGTTTCTTACAGGCAGCCACATCTGCTTCTTTTGTGCCAAATAGTTTAAATTTTTCTTGGTTTTAGTTTTAAAAGCTGATATCTTCCCTCACTAAAGACATCATGTTCTTCAGGTTTAATACCAGCCTTATTTCAGGGACAGCATCAGGTAAACCAACAACTCAACAAATCAATTTCCCTCTGGGATTAATAAAGTATTTTTGAATTGAATTGAACTCCAGAAAATTAATACAAATGACTGGAAAAGGACGTTTTTATGATGCTTCGCCCAGCCCAGCAGCAGCAGTCAGAATGTTGTACGTGTTTTGGTGATGACAAAAATAAAGTTGTGAAGAGAGTCAATAAATCAGGGTGAGCTCTAACCCTAACCCTAACCCATGTGTATCATCTTCAGTACTACGATAGGTCTGGTATCATTCCTGTTTAAAGTGTTTCCTTCTGTTAGCAAATGTTTCATCTTTCCTCGTAGACATCAGGCTCTACTCTTTATTATGTCTACCTAGCTTTAGCCTACTGATTTCAGCATTGCCACAACATATTTTAACATTTTGATGAACAACAAAGTGTGAAAAATCTTTTAGCCCAGGGTCTAAATCTGTGAAGGATGCAGCTCATTCTGCTTTTACAAATCTAGATCATTCAAGCATTTTCTCTGTGGAACGAAGAGGTTTTCTTGTTTCTGTTCTGATATCCTTTCCACAAAGTGAGCATGTTCGATTTGTAAGTTTCCTGTCATAATCTTGAGCCTAACATGCCAGCTGATGAAGCTCTGATGCACGGCACCGTCTGACCTATGGATGATCTTTGAGGGTTTGGAAGTCCAACCCTGTTTTGGTTGTTCTCCACTAGAATAAGCGTTCTGGTTGTGCAGATATATTATATATAATAACCATATATTAGAAATGAACTTTAACCCCTCACAGATTAATACGATTCAAGGACGTGCAAAAACCGGGCTCGAATTTGGTTTTCAGTTTCTTTTTTGATTGAAACAATCACAGAACCAATGTGTATCATATAACCTGAATGTTGCCTGCAAATATGTCCTTGGCAATCAATTACACTGAACAAAAATATAAACGCAACACTTTTGTTTTTGCTCCCATTTTTCATGAGCTGAACTCAAACAACTGAAACTTTTTCTACATACACTAAACATCTATGACTCTCAACTATTGTTCTGAAATCTGTCTACATGTGTGTTGGTGAGCACTTTTCCTTTACCAAGATAATCCATCCCACCTCACAGGTGTGGCATATCAAGGGGCTGATTAGACAGCATGAATAATGTACAGGTGTGCCTTAGACTGCCCACAATAAAAGGCCACCCTGACATGTGCACATTTTTGCTTTATGGGGGGTGGTGGGGCAGAAAACCAGTCAGTGTCTGGTGTGGCCACCATTTGCCTCATGCAGAGTAGCATATCTCCGTGGCATAGAGTTGATCAGGTTGTTGATTGTGGAACGTTAGTCCACTCCTCTTCAATAGCTGTGAGAAGTTGCCGAATATTGGCAGGAACTGGAACACGCTGTCGTATACACTGATCCAGAGCATCCCAAACATGCTCAATAGGTTACATGTCTGGTGAGTATGCTGGCCATGCAAGAACTGGGATGTTTTCAGCTTCCAGGAATTGTGTACAGATACTTGCAATATGGGGCCGTGCGTTACCATGCTGCAACATGAGGTGATGGTCGTGGATGAATGGCACAACAATGGGCCTCAGGATCGAGTCACGGTACCTCTGTTCATTCAAAACGACATCAATGAACTGCACCTGTGTTCATTGTCCATAACATATGCCTGCCCATACAGGTACCCCACTGCCACCATGGGCCACCATTCCACAACATTGACATCAGCAACCCACTCACCCACATGACGCCACTTAGGCAGTCTGCCATCTGCCCTAAACAGTGAAAACTCTGGTTTCTGGTCAGGTCCCTGCTTACTTTAAGAACGCTGTAATCCACCCGCTTCTTAAAAAACCAAGTCTTGATGCCTCTCTCCATAGCAGCTTCAGACCCATCTCTAAACTTCCGTTCATCTCCAAGATCTTGGAAAGGGTTGTGGCTAAACAACTCACAGCTGCTCTTGATGAACACAACATCTTTGATTGCTTCCAGTCAGGTTTTCTTAGAGCTCATTCTACTGAAACAGCTCTTCTTAGGGTCTCTAATGACCTTCTGACTCACAGTGATGCAGGGGACTGTTCTGTTCTGGTCCTGCTGGACTTGATTGCAGCCTTTGACACTGTTGACCATCACCTGCTACTGGAGAGGCTGAGAGACTGGGTAGGCCTATCAGGAACTGCACTAGAGTGGTTCTCTTATCGGTCTGAGCACTTTTTTTTCTGTGGCCGTCTCCAAGTTTAGGTCCTCCACCACCCCCCTTAGAAGAAGAAGAAGAAGAAGAAGAAAATATAATTTCTATAGCGCCTCTCAAGATAAAAATCACGAGGCGCTTCACAAAAACAAAAACAAAAAATATAAAAATTGTAAAAATATAAAAAAGCATTTCGAAAATGTTTAAAATATATTTAAAATGAGCAAGAATAAGCAATTGCGATTTAAAAGAAAAAATGTTAACTCATTCACTGCCAGCCGTTTCCTGATCGCTAACGGCCTTCGCTGCCAGCGTTTCTCACCGTTTTTACTGTTTTTTTAAGAGTCACAGAACGTTGCGCGCTAGCATGATGTTGATGCCAAAACAACCTAAACAAAGAGGAGACTCACCTCTTACATCAGGAAGAAGCCGTGTGTTTCGAGCGTTATCCGTTCTTTCATAATCCGTTGTCGAATTGTGATCGGCAGACGTTTTTCCAGTTCGCGTCTCACTTTTTTTTTACAGGAACGGCCCAAAACGATCTCCAAACACATGGATGGTCTGCTTCCTGATCATGTGATCTGTGACGTATGCGGATGAAGATCGGCTTCAGGGCTGAGATGTTTGTTCTCTCAGCGCGGGGGCTCGTTCCAATGCTCAAACAGTAAAAAAATGCAAATGACGACTTTAGTCGTCAGTGGCAGTGAATGAGTTAAGAAAGAGAGAGAGTGAATAGGAAAGAGGGAAATCAGTAGATCCTGAGGAAGGTGGAATAGGTAGGGAGAGCCGAATAAAGAGAGTGGTGAAGTCTGTCATACAAAAGCCAGCTTGAACAAGTGAGTCTTCAGCTGCTTTTTGAAGGAGACCACTGAGTCCACTGATCTCAGGCTCAGGGGGAGAGAGTTCCAGAGTCCGGGGGCCACAGCAGCAAATGATCTGTCACCTTTGGTCTTTAGCCTGGTGCGCTACACAACCAGTAGGCTTTGATCACTGGACCTCAGGGACCTGCTGGGGGTGTAGGGACTAAGAAGATCACCAATGTAAGATGGTGCTTGTCCATGTAGGGCCCTATAGACCAGAACCAGGATCTTGAAATGAGCCCTGAAGTTGACTGGCAGCCAATGAAGCTGGAGGAGAAGCGGGGTGATGTGGGTGTGTTTGGAGGACTTGGTCAGAAGTCGAGCACAGGCATTCTGAACCACCTGTAGACGGTTCAGGGAGGTTCTGCTCAGACACGTGAAAAGAGAGTTGCAGTAGTCTAAGCGTGAGGAGATGAAGGTGTGGAGCACTATAGAAATGATATTTTCTTCTTCTTCAACTCATCTGTGAACAGAATTCCTCTCCAACGTGCCAAACGCCATCGAATGTGAGTGTTTGCCCACTCAAGTTGGTTAGGACAACGGACTGCAGTCACGTCCAAACCTCGATGGGGATGAAGAGCATGCAGATGAGCTTCCCTGAGACAGTTTCTGACCGTTTATGCAGAAATTCTCTGGTTATGCAAACTGATTGTTGCTGCAGCTGTCCGGGTGGCTGGTCTCAGGCGATCCTGGAGATGAACATGCTGGATGTGAAGGTCCTGGGCTGGTGTGGTCACACGTGGTCTATGGTTGTGAGGCCGGTTGGATGTACTGCCAAATTCTCTGAAATGTCTTTGGAGACAGCTAATGGTAGAGACATGGACATTCATTTCACAGGCAACAGCTCTGGTAGACATTCCTGCCGTCAGCATGCCAATTGCACACTCCCTCAAAGGCTGTAACATCTGTGGCATTGTGCTGTTTGATTAAACTTCAAATTTCAGGGTATCCTTTTATTGTGGGCAGTGTAAGGCACACGTGTGTTATTTATGCTGTCTGTCCTTGATATGAGGTAGGATGGATTATCTTGGTAAAGGAAAAGTGCTCACCAACACACATGTAGACAGATTTCAGAACAATATTTGAGAGTCATGGGTGTTTTGTAAATGTAGAAAAAGTTTCAGTTGTTTGAGTTCAGACAAAGACCAAAAACAAAAGTGTTGCATTTATATTTTTTTCAGCGTACATAAAAAATGTGAAGAATAAATCGGCTCTTCAATTTGAGCCTAATAAGCTGTAAGTGGCCTCTGTTTATGCCGTTTACAGTAGAAGAGGACACACATAACGAACAGCAAGCAGCCATCTCAACAGCTTAGTTGAAATGATTGTGTTTATGATGGCATCAACAGCAGGATTAATGCAGCAACACACCAATGTTTCCACATTAGCGCCTTGCTCCCTTATATTTATGTCTACAATAATATCAATGACGTTATTTTGTAATTTGAAGTTTCTACAGCTGATTTTGTATGTGTTTGTGTTTGTGTTAGTCCTGCTCACAGAGTTTCCCGTGTGCTGGACGAGCTGTGAGGAACGCCTTCCTCTCACACGGGCCGTACCCGACCAAAGACAAGATACACTTGGCCAGGATCATACGGTACGCTTGCTCATGTTGGTTTGTGTGTTGATGCACTGGACTCAGTCGAGTCTAGTGAAGCATTATCCGTCACTGCCCCGTTTTATTCGGCTACGTGTGCAGGACAGTGAACAAAGATGGATGTAGAGGAACAGAAACGGTCAGGGATTACATGCACCTAACTAGATTTAACCGAACATGCAGAACATCCAGGTGCATGGAGGAAAAACCCAGCTACATTTATTCCCTAGGCATGGAGTTTATCCTTCAGAGGAAGCAGATGGAACGTGTTCAGTATTTCAGTGGAAAAGGATAACAAACGAGTAATAATGAAGAATCAATAGATATTGATGAAAACGAGCTTTGTGCCATAGAAGTGTGTGCCTTGTGTGACCTTGTGTGTGTGTATGTGTGTGTGTGTGTGTTTTAACAGGCGAAGCTATGTGGGAGTGGAGCTGGTGCAGTGGCTCTGTGAGCAGTGTGTGTACGTGCGCTGTCGGACGACTGCTGTGCGTGTCTGGCAGGTGCTGCTGGAGCTGGGAGTCCTGTTGTCTGGTAGACACACACACACACACACACACACACACACACACACACACACACACACACACACACACACACTGGTGGCTAGGACAGTGCTTCAGAATTTATAGCCTTCTTCCAGCGACATCAGCATCTCTGCAGATGCAAGAACGTGACTCGGTTATTTCCAGCTGAACTGAGTGGCTCATTTATCGCCTCGTTCACCTGCTCCAGACATGAACTTGATTTAATTTAGATCTCTGAAGCTGGGATTGATGCACCAGATAGCAAAACTTGATTTTCAATAATCTCTCATTGTTCTGGCCTGAGTGTCGTCCTGCTGTCATCAGTACAGAACAGTGCTTCACTGCACGCTTGGTCTGTTTTCAGAGGTAGCTGGAGTTTCTTTGAAGGATGGAAATCCCTGTAAGGTCCTGTTTAACAGATTTTTGTTGCTGGTGGTGTTTAATAGAAACATCAGTATTTATCACAGATTTCCTTCTACTCACTAAAAATACTCAGTACTTATTATTTTACAGCTTATGGGAGCAGCAGCCTTAGCAGGGTTTCCTAGACCATCCTCTCCCCAACAATCAGCTCCTCTAGGACAGCCTGGAGATAAAAATGCCTCTGGTATGTTCTGGGTTGACCCCATAGTTCTCCTACCAGCAGGACCAAAACACTGCCCTCGACGTTGGGGGTCCGGGTCTCACCCTGCCTCTGAAGCTGATCCTGGCCACCCTGTGAAGGAAACTAATGTCAGCCGCTTGTTCTTTCAGTCAAAGCTCAAGGTCATTAGTGAGGGTTGGTACCCAGACCACTTCAGCTTCTGCATCACTGCAAAGTACTTCCCACTCCCCCATCATTCGTAATCCAAGCCCCACCAAAGTATTTTGAGTAAAAGTTAAATCAGCTGTTTTATTGCTAGATGGTCTCCTGAGCTCACCTCCAGCTCCTGATAAAAATATTTCTTTACTTTTATTAGAAAAAAAATATTCAACAGCTTTGACTGTAAGCATCACACAACATAATTAATGTCCATGTGTAACACTTTTAGGTAAATAAGCAATAAAATCACTCTAGATTGATTTTAGCCAACACTTCTGACTTAGCTTGTCTGATCTTTTTTCAGTGGACCAGAGGGTGGTGTTTTCAGACTCCAACTCCTACTACCAGTTCAGTTTTGAGGAATGTGACTCCCCGTCCTGTGAGTTTCGCTCCAATGAGGGGGAGTGGCCAGAAGCTGTTAAGCTCCTCCTACAACTTGCTCCATATGTCCAGTTCCGGTCTGGTGGTGGAGCCAACAGCCCGTAAGTGATGGAAGATTCAGTTGAACCTGTCTGACTGTAGATGTGTTACTTCACTGGACCTGGAAGAGAAGCCTGTTGTTCCTGTAGAGAATCAGAGGCTTTCACTTCCTGTTTAGTGTTTTTTCTCTTGGATAAGTCGTGGTTAAACATTTAAAAGTGAGACGTATCTTACTGGTTACAAGTAGCATGTGACATTCTCCGGGTTATTTGCAGCTGTAGGTCCTCATCGTCATGTTAATAGAATCTTGGACCTGCTTGAAAAAGACAGATTTTCTTTCTTTTGGCTAACTTTCATATTTTCATTCAATTATGTGTCTCCAGCAATCTTAGCCCAGTGAGAGACTGGCTTTACGCTACTGCTAGTGTATTTTTGTCTTTGCAACATGACATAAAAACCACACACTAAGGAAGATCCTCCTGAAATCCCAGTGAGAAACCTAATCTCTCTCCAGCATCTTAAATCCCCCGTCTCCTTGGAGACGTATTTATTTGCAGGCACACACCTACGTATCTATAGAACAAGTGCACTTAAACACAAAAAGTGACACATGAAGTGATCACTCGTGTACATGGAAAGGTTTCAGAGGGCCTGTCGCACATCCATACAGAGTGGTGTCACCAAGTTCCCTGATTTGCTGCTCCTGTGTGTGAGGATCCTGCTGAGGCTGCAACTGAACTCAATCTGTCACTCAAATGTGTGTGTGTGTGTGTGTGTGTGTGTGTGTGTGTGTGTGTGTGTGTGTGTGTGTGTGTGTTTTGAATGGAACATAAATGGGGAGTAAAAGTAAAAGAAGCTCAGATATTCCTCTGCACATCGCTTCTGCAGGGTGAGTTTCCAGACACCAGGGAGAACGGCAACAGCAAGGTTTCAGCTGCCATCTTTACTAATGAATCAAGCTGCGTGTATGTCTGTGTTCTCCATCGCGGACTTTATAGACTGTGACATGCACACTTTCATCATAGAGCCTCTAGAAGTTTGCAGGGTGCAGACCTAATGAATGGAAGAGCCACTTCATCTCCAGCTAATCATGTTCAAACAACAAAACACTGAGAACCACTGAGTTTAGAATACATTTAGTTTAACCAAGTTGTTTATTTGATATTTTTGTTAATGTGGACATTGGATCTATTATTGTTTATGTTTTTATCATCAGAACACAATAATTCCTCTTTTTTCTAAAGAAGAGGCTCCTCTGCTGCCAGCAGCCTCACACCCTCCGTCCTCTTTAGCATGTCTTTTGAAGCATGAATAGTTGAAGCTTTATGGGGACATGTTTAAAATTACATCACTACTAGCTTCAGAGAGTAGACGTACTAAAAAAGAATCCATCAATTAATCTGCAGTCAGGCATGTGTGCTCGTCATGAGAGCTGGTAGCAGTCTTCATGAGTTATGACTTCTTATCTCTTGACTGTTACTGAAGCAGGGAAACATTACCATCATGCTGATTATGTACGAAACGGCTGCAGGAGCTTTGGAGAGAGGCTGCTTTCATTAAGCTAAAAGAGCGCATGCTACTGTTTATAAAGCTTATATCTGCTGCATCATGGATACTTTATTGCTTTCATTATGATTTAGCTCACATCCTCACTTCTTTCAAGTCTGAGATTCATGTCTAAGCAATAAAATTCATTTCAGGCACATTGAGGTTTACTAGTTTACTGGAGCACTTTCACAATAAATAAATGAATGAATGAATAAATAAATAAGTAAATAAATAGTGCTCTTTTGGGAACATCTGGAGCAATAATATTTGTGATATAAGAGGGAGATTGAATTTTGAGAGCTTTATAACGGGTGGGGAACGTGCGGCCTGCAAGACCATTTCAAGCGGGCCTCAACGCAATTAAATGTTTTAGATTTTATAGGATGAGTAAAAAAGTCTGTGGAAAATTATTAACAGATTTTAACAATAAAACATAAGAATTTGTTTGTCCAAGTCAAGATCAGGGTCAGTGAATGCAGCATGTGATGTACATCATTACGCGATTGGCAGAAGACGAGGGGTCTGTCATGGCAGCTGTGGAAGAGGAGGGTGGATGCAGGATGCTGCGTATTCCAGGAAAATGGACAAATGTTTTTTTCTTTGTAGAAGTGAAAGGCAAGCCAGCGTGCTTGGTTTCTGGGCGATGCACTGGCAGTAATGAAGAAGTGAATCTCGGGCACCGTTACAGTTGAAAGAATGCTAAACTCTAAAAGTTGAAAGCACAAATGCGCTTGGATAAAATCAGTTCTCTTCATCTGAGCCTGCTCAACAATCAGCCTTCACACGTCCACAGACTGAGAGAATCGGAGGTGAACAAGTTTGGATGTGAGTGCAGTGCATTAATAGCCAAGAAGCTGAAGGAGAGTTTGTAAAGAAGTTTGTTGTTGCTGCCGCGGAGCTGCTCGATAAAGAGCATTTCTTTCAAAACGTCAGTTTGTCTCAAAGAGGATTGCTGATATGGCACAAGAAAAAACATTGAAGAACACTGAGGTTTTTATTTGGCCTGTGATGACAACAAGCATCACTGACATAACGCGGCTAGCAATGGAATTCTAGCCTGAAACAAAGGACAAAATGCCATCTTTGCAACCCATGCTCGGTACTACTAAAGGTGAAGATTGGTTGTGGCCACGAACAATTTTCGTGATTTTTAAACTTTAGCAAAATTAGTTCTAATTATTCAGCAACCGCTTCAAATCCAACATGGCGGTGGAGCACGGATTCATCCAGAACAACATTTAAACATCCATGAGTCTGTCTGAGGCAAACGTCCAGAACCTCATGGCCTCCTCAACAAGCCTCTTTTATTTAAATAAAAAAGTCTGTTACAATTCTCTAAAATGCAATCAAGTATTTTGTACTTACCTTTCCGAAAGAAGCTTTGCCGACTGTTCATGAGTTTTGAGACTTCGTATCATGAAGCTCCTTTCACTTCATCTGAGGCGTGTTCTCGCTGATTGACGGCTCCTTCTTGTGAATACGGAACTCCGGCTCGTCTAATTCATTTGTTTAGCTGTAGAGGCCGGGGGAGGGACTTGGGAGAAAAATAAATTATGAAAGATTGCTTACTTTTTCTCATCGAACAGGGTCAGATAGTCAAATTTAAGCATATTTAAAGTGACTTTTTGCGTCCCTGGTTATGTGTTATTCATAGCATGGCCCTCGGAGGATTACATACAAATTTAAATTGTCTTCCATATGAAAACGTTTCCCCACCCCTGCTTCATAAGTTGGAAGACCTTTATTCTCGGATCCTGCAGGGAAACAACCAAGTGATGCTAAAACTGGAGAATCTGGTCTCTCATCAGAATCGTGGAAGCAGCGTTCTGGATCAGCTGGAGGCCTCTACGAGAACCTTTAGATCATCATCAACATTAGAGAACTACAATAATCAACCTTAGTATGAAGGTATTAAATGGTGGATTAGTTCCTGTAAATATTAGGTTTAGATGATGATCTAGCTCCTCCCGTATGCAGTGAGTGGGTGTAGTCGTGGGTCTACAATTACACTGTCAGCTTCCATGTGTTTGAATTACAGCGATCTCTGCTTTGTGCAGCAGGAGCAGAATTGCCAAAAGCTAAAATATGACACCCTTGCTTGGGAGAAGGGAATGTTCTTGCTTGCTTTGCATAGCACACCAGTCCTGGACAATTCATCGCCTGCCCTGTTTTTAATGAGAGAGGCCAGAAAGTCAGACTCTGCAGAATAATGCTGGAAGCTTGTAGCTGTAGGGGAGAGCATCCAGTCTCCTCCTGCTCCCAATGAATGATGCTCTCTGCAGCATAGCTCTAGCTTTTAGCTCTGCCTCAAGACTTCAGTTCGGCATTTGGTTTCATTCAGGTTCATCTTGAGTCTGCATCTGGGATCAATTCTGGTAGAATTCCTGGTAACAGGAAGGCTGTGCAGGAATAGATCATGTTATTCTTCAGTAATGCTATACGATGCCTAATGGTTAGTGGCACGCTGCCTACCGTGCCTCTTCCCCAGCTTTGACACATTTATGCTTGTAGTGTCACCAAATTACCAACTGAACACTGGCTGATAGTAGTTCTTAATGAGCCTTTTCCCAAGGCTCTTTGTCCTGTCTGCCCACAGAGCGCTTCGCTGCATTTCTTCTGAAAAACTCTATTTTTACTAACCATGGATTTGATAAACTGGTCATTCAATGCGATCGATAAGATTTTTTCAACAATGAGAACGGAGCAGGGGGCTCCCACATGTCCACAGGAGACGCACCCGGTGGGATATATTTTGGATTCCTGGAAGGAGTGGAAGATCATGTGCCTCTCCCAGCTGTCCATTGAGGACATCGAAGACATGTGGATATTTGGTCTGATGATCACTGGATTTCTCCTGATTGAAGTGGGAGGATATCTGGTTTTGTGGAAATTTGGGAAGACTGGAGCAATTGGAGGGCGACCCGCACTCACGGAAAGCACCGTCCGTGTGGAGACTTCTCAGACTGGGACGTTACTCGAGGTGAATCATAAGCTGGACAATGTTCTAGCTGCGATACCGGTATTAGTGTACAAAATGAATGTCATCTCGGAGAGAGTCACCGGACGGTATGGGCAGGTTTAAAGCCCAAAATTGGCATCACTGAAGGACTGGAACTGATCAGTTTAAAGACTGAAGGCAGAGAGGAAAATTATCTCAGCCTGACCCAAACAAATTCTTGTTATCTGAATCTGACGCCCTGGTAGCCTTGAGCTGCGAGCAACTAAAACCCCCACGAAGGAATGCAGACAGATGCTGTGAAAACCCGATCTACCCCACTCTGCCTTCGGATTGGTGGACTTCAGCCTGGTGAGGTCATCAGCTGGAGGAGTCAATGTGCTCTTCGCTCCTCCCAAGATCTCCCTCCCACCTGTTACTGTACAGTAGATGAGCACCTTAGATGGCTGCTCTCGCTGGGGGAAACAGGATCCCAGCCCCACCCCCCACCCCGCCTTCCTATTGGAGTCTCATGTTGTGAACTGTCGATGTTCGTGCTTATTTGTTTGAGGTGTTTTTTTTGCATAGCAAAGCTACGTACGCCCTGTCGGGAGTAACTCTGGAATGCCTTTTTTCCCCTCCCCCAATTTATCCTCATGTAATGTCCTTTTCATCTAAATGAAATGAGCGCCGTTCATGGCTGCTCTCGTGGTCTGCCTGTATCTGTTTTGTCTACGTGTGTGTGTCTAACCTTGGTCAAGCCATGCTGCGGAGTCAAATTCCTATGCTTCGGGACGCTGGAGCACTGGCAATAAAGGTTTTCTGATTCTGATTCTGAATACGCTTAGCTTGGCCTTTTTTCTTTGTCAGTATTTGTCCTTGTTCCATCTGTTAGGGAAGAAAATATAACCAGTTCATGTATTGCCAAAAGGTGAATCTGATAGTAAACGTAGAATATTTTCACACTCCTTGCAGATATCTGACAGTCCACCTGCCCCGATCTGTGCCACGGTTTGGTAGTTGATGTGTCAGGCTGGGGGCTATAGTGTTATTAGTGTTATCACCATTCCTCTAGCTTCTGCATCTATCATTCTGTTATCAGATCACACACAAACACACACACAGGGCATCATCCTCTTTCCTCCTTTAAAACGTATAAGTTCAACTGGGATCTGTGGGTGAAATCCAAATTGTATGCAAATGTGTGTGGACGTGTGTGTGTGCATGCTGCAGAAACCAATACAGAAATTGGTTTTCTAAGAGATCATGCTGGATGATGGGCCTCAGGTGCAGTCTGCTGCTGTTGGAGACCATTTTCTAAGTTTTTATTAAATAATGTAGAGTGTATAATAATAATACATCTGTTCAGACCATTCAAGGTCACTTAGCTGTTCTAACTTACAAATACAGTCGAAACAAGATTAGAATTACAATTATGAGCATAGACTGAAGAAACAGAACCACACCTCAGATTTAGAGAATATAGTTTATTTAACACACTCATTCAAAAGTGCAGGAGAATTAAAATAAGCACAAATGTATTTATTGATCCCAATGTTCCCGTGTAGACCCTAAAGGCATGCACATGCAGCAGCAGCATCGCTGCACAGTGTCTCTGGCGCCAGTAGGAGTGTATGGGAGCTGTTTTACATAAACCACGAGTGAGAAACAAGACTTGTCTGGGAGAGATTAAAGGTAGTCTATACAAGAGATTCTCCAACTTTAAATGATGTGCTAATGAGTTTGTTTTTAAGTTGTTTTTTACTCAACCAACTCTAACCAGGGGTATAAAACTTCCATTTCATGTATTTTAAAATTACATGTAGTTCTACTTTTCTGATGCCAGGGGGCAGCGTAGAGGGGACTGCAGCCTGCAGGGAGCTTCCATACCTGCAGGCTGTTTAATTTGAATATCAAACATATGGCAGCTGCTATGAAACAATCTTCTGTTTTAGGTCAGACGAAGACTCTGAAGGCAACAGGGACATCTGCAGTGAGATTCTGCAGATGAAAGCTCTGGAGAGACTAACTTCTACGGTCAGTGTGTGCATCTAAGAGCTTCAGAAAAGATACCAAAACAAAGCAAAATGAAGCAGATAGTTGGCTCTGTCGTTGTCATGTGCAAATGTTTGCTTTTTTCCTCTCTCTCTTTCTCCCAGGTACAAAGCGAGTTAGCAGCTGCTCTCGCCCGAAAGACTCGCAAAGCATGTAAGCCAAGACATAGTTGGAGTGTGTGTGTGTGTGTGTGTGTGTGTGTGTGTGTGTGTGTGTGTGTGTTCATCTAAAACTTTGTTATTTTACCTACTCAATTATCATGATGTTGTGTAACGAACGAGAAACCTTTAACATTAATTTATTTGTTTGCAGTATCAGAGCAGGGCTCTGAGACGACAGAGACAAGCCACCAGAAGTCTGGCACACCCAGTGAGGAGAGCAGCCCGGTAACACACTCACCAACACACTTACACACTCACCAACACACACTTACACACTCACCAACACACACTTACACACTCACCAACACACACTTACACACTCACCAACACACATACACACTCACCAACACACATACACACTCACCAACACACATACACACTCACCAACACACTTACACACTCACCAACACACTTACACACTCACCAACACACACTTACACACTCACCAACACACACTTACACACTCACCAACACACACTTACACACTCACCAACACACATACACACTCACCAACACACTTACACACTCACCAACACACACTTACACACTCACCAACACACACTTACACACTCACCAACACACATACACACTCACCAACACACATACACACTCACCAACACACATACACACTCACCAACATACATACACACTCACCAACACACTTACACACTCACCAACACACACTTACACACTCACCAACACACACTTACACACTCACCAACACACACATACACACTCACCAACACACTTACACACTCACCAACACACACTTACACACTCACCAACACACACTTACACACTCACCAACACACTTACACACTCACCAACACACACTTACACACTCACCAACACACTTACACACTCACCAACACACTTACACACTCACCAACACACACTTACACACTCACCAACACACTTACACACTCACCAACACACACTTACACACTCACCAACACACACTTACACACTCACCAACACACTTACACACTCACCAACACACTTACACACTCACCAACACACACTTACACACTCACCAACACACTTACACACTCACCAACACACACTTACACACTCACCAACACACACTTACACACTCACCAACACACTCACCAACACACATACACACTCACCAACACACATACACACTCACCAACACACTTACACACTCACCAACACACACTTACACACTCACCAACACACACTTACACACTCACCAAAACACATACACACTCACCAACACACTTACACACTCACCAACACACTTACACACTCACCAACACACTTACACACTCACCAACACACACTTACACACTCACCAACACACACTTACACACTCACCAACACACACTTACACACTCACCAACACACACTTACACACTCACCAACACACATACACACTCACCAACACACTTACACACTCACCAACACACTTACACACTCACCAACACACATACACACTCACCAACACACATACACACTCACCAACACACATACACACTCACCAACACACATACACACTCACCAACACACTTACACACTCACCAACACACACTTACACACTCACCAACACACACTTACACACTCACCAACACACACATACACACTCACCAACACACTTACACACTCACCAACACACACTTACACACTCACCAACACACACTTACACACTCACCAACACACTTACACACTCACCAACACACACTTACACACTCACCAACACACTTACACACTCACCAACACACTTACACACTCACCAACACACACTTACACACTCACCAACACACTTACACACTCACCAACACACACTTACACACTCACCAACACACTTACACACTCACCAACACACACTTACACACTCACCAACACACACTTACACACTCACCAACACACTTACACACTCACCAACACACTTACACACTCACCAACACACATACACACTCACCAACACACACTTACACACTCACCAACACACTTACACACTCACCAACACACATACACACTCACCAACACACATACACACTCACCAACACACTTACACACTCACCAACACACACTTACACACTCACCAACACACACTTACACACTCACCAACACACACTTACACACTCACCAAAACACATACACACTCACCAACACACTTACACACTCACCAACACACTTACACACTAACCAACACACGTACACACTCACCAACACACATACACACTCACCAACACACTTACACACTCACCAACACACACTTACACACTCACCAACACACACTTGCACACTCACCAAAACACATACACACTCACCAACACACTTACACACTCACCAACACACTTACACACTAACCAACACACTTACACACTCACCAACACACATACACACTCACCAACACACTTACACACTCACTAACACACACTTACACACTCACTAACACACACTTACACACTCACCAACACACACTTACACACTCACCAACACACACTTACACACTCACCAACACACACTTACACACTCACCAACACACATACACACTCACCAACACACTTACACACTCACCAACACACTTACACACTAACCAACACACTTACACACTCACCAACACACATACACACTCACCAACACACACTTACACACTCACCAACACACACTTACACACTCACCAACACACATACACACTTACCAACACACTTACACACTCACCAACACACTTACACACTCACCAACACACACTTACACACTCACCAACACACACTTACACACTCACCAACACACTTACACACTCACCAACACACACTTACACACTCACCAACACACACTTACACACTCACCAACACACACTTACACACTCACCAACACACTTACACACTCACCAACACACTTACACACTCACCAACACACACTTACACACTCACCAACACACACTTACACACTCACCAACACACTTACACACTCACCAACACACTTACACACTCACCAACACACACTTACACACTCACCAACACACACTTACACACTCACCAACACACTTACACACTCACCAACACACATACACACTCACCAACACACACTTACACACTCACCAACACACTTACACACTCACCAACACACACTTACACACTCACCAACACACACTTACACACACACTTACACACTCACCAACACACACTTACACACTCACCAACACACTTACACACTCACCAACACACACTTACACACTCACCAACACACACTTACACACTCACCAACACACTTACACACTCACCAACACACTTACACACTCACCAACACACATACACACTCACCAACACACATACACACTCACCAACACACACTTACACACTCACCAACACACACTTACACACTCACCAACACACTTACACACTCACCAACACACACTTACACACTCACCAACACACTTACACACTCACCAACACACTTACACACTCACCAACACACACTTACACACTCACCAACACACACTTACACACTCACCAACACACTTACACACTCACCAACACACTTACACACTCACCAACACACACTTACACACTCACCAACACACACTTACACACTCACCAACACACACTTACACACTCACCAACACACTTACACACTCACCAACACACTTACACACTCACCAACACACATACACACTCACCAACACACATACACACTCACCAACACACACTTACACACTCACCAACACACTTACACACTCACCAACACACACTTACACACTCACCAACACACACTCACCAACACACTTACACACTCACCAACACACACTTACACACTCACCAACACACACTTACACACACACTTACACACTCACCAACACACACTTACACACTCACCAACACACTTACACACTCACCAACACACACTTACACACTCACCAACACACACTTACACACTCACCAACACACTTACACACTCACCAACACACTTACACACTCACCAACACACATACACACTCACCAACACACATACACACTCACCAACACACACTTACACACTCACCAACACACACTTACACACTCACCAACACACTTACACACTCACCAACACACACTTACACACTCACCAACACACTTACACACTCACCAACACACTTACACACTCACCAACACACACTTACACACTCACCAACACACACTTACACACTCACCAACACACTTACACACTCACCAACACACTTACACACTCACCAACACACACTTACACACTCACCAACACACACTTACACACTCACCAACACACACTTACACACTCACCAACACACTTACACACTCACCAACACACTTACACACTCACCAACACACATACACACTCACCAACACACATACACACTCACCAACACACACTTACACACTCACCAACACACTTACACACTCACCAACACACACTTACACACTCACCAACACACACTTACACACACACTTACACACTCACCAACACACACTTACACACTCACCAACACACATACACACTCACCAACACACATACACACTCACCAACACACTTACACATTCACCAACACACCTACACACTCACCAGCACACATACACACTCACCAACACACTTACACATTCACCAACACACCTACACATTCACCAACACACCTACACACTCACCAGCACACATACACACTCACCAGCACACACATACACACTCACCAACACACACAAACACACTCACCAACACACATACACACTCACCAGCACACACATACACACTCACCAACACACCTACACACTTATACAACATCTGCAGGGTTCCAGCTGTAGCCAGCCCGATCAGTTCGAACACAGCACCACATAATGGCTCTTTTTTAAAGGTCACTTGAGGATACGTTTAATGCAAGTGGAGGTATGAAGATACCACAGCCTAACTTAGAAAATGGGGTCAGTGCAAATTGAGGCCTGTTTGCTCTCACCTACCATGTCTCTACAGTTAAAACCTCTTTCTCTCAATAAATTATTCATTCTCTCATCAGATCAGGGAGACTTGGAGGGGATGGGAAAACCAGAACCTTCCATGTAAAAGTTTTAAACCACCCATTCTTTCTTTTTTTGGCTTCTAAGGAGTCTTTCAGACTTTCTTTTACTCTTTTTTTAGGTTCTTTGATGAGTTTATCTTCAGACCTTCTGAAGGTTTAGTCATCAGAGTCAGTAACAGAAATCATGAATCGCAACCTAGAAGCATGAAGCCTTTCTATCGCCGCTAACACTTGCTTTATGTTAACCTTATTTTGCAGAAACAGGTTTTTATCAGTTAACGGGTAGAAATAACTTTAAATGACCTGTATTTGTATAGTGCCCTAGAGGATGTAGAACCCGCCAAGGCACTTCACAACACATTCAGTCATCCATCCATTCACACACACATTCACACGCTGGTGGGAATGAGCTACGATGTAGCCACAGCTGCCCTGGGGTGCACTGACAGAGGCGAGGCCTGCCGAACACAGGTGCCACTGGTCCCTCCGACCACCACCAGCAGGGAAGGTGGGTTAAGTGTCTTGCTCAAGGACACAACAGCAGCATTCTCTGGTTGGAGCCTGAAAGGAACCTACAACCTTCCAATTACTGGACAACCCGCTCTACCTCCTGAGCTACTGCTGTTCCTTAAATTCAAGCTCGATAGTGAATTATCAGAGACAATCACATATTTACAAGTGATAAATGCTGTACAACACCACATCACAGCCCTGTCCAGTGTGTGCTGAACATCAGATTGCTCCTGAAGCCCCTCGGGTGGATTTGATAACCACGGCTGATTATAGTTGTAACTGGGTAGATCCCATGTGTCGATAAATACCTAGGACAACTAAACACATTCAGCTATGAGAGGTCAAGGACACAGTGGAGTCCAGGTGCTTAAAACTCCCAAAAGCTGAAATGTAGTTGATAATAATTTAGTTTAGTTTAGAGGGTGATCAATATTGTTTTTTCTATCGCCAATACTGATGCAGATATGTAGAGGTCATGGTCTGCCAATGGCCAACATGTGCTGCAGATATGTGATGCCTATGTTCATGGCTGATATCTAGATGATTTTCACTTATTGTCACTCTAAAATGTCGCTAATGACATCAGCTGATGCACAACATTCCTGAAGCTGAATCAGTTGTTGAACTCTGAATTTAACCAACTGTTGAATCTTAATTTTGTGCACGATTCTGTTAAAATCAGACATCTAACAGAGGTTCGTTTACAAGTGATAAATGCTGTACAACACCACATCACATCACTGACCATGTATACATATATATACATAACCTCATATATACAAAACTGGTAAATGAAAAGAAATGTTTTTGTTGAAATTTAATGTTTAGAGCATGTTTTAGTCAGGAAAATTAATACACATCTAAATTAAATTCTGCAGCAACATTGGGCTGCCCGGAGATGTGGCCGATGCCACACACACACACACACACACACACACGCACGCACGCACGCACACACACACACACACACGGCAGGTCTTGGTGTGTTCTGTGTCCAGAACAGGACGTTGAGAACAGGTTTACAGGAAGCAGAGAGGGACATGGGTGTGTGCATGTGGTTCTTCCACAAGATGAGATATGTTATGGGGGAACGGGGGTCCCTGTAAAACAAAGTAAACAATATTGTGTGTGTAGCTCTGCTAAAGCAGGGTACTGTGGGAAGACACGCTAACAGGAAGGTAGCCCGACTCAGCCAAAGGAAACAACCCCTTCTTTCTCTCTTCCAAGGAAAATAAACCGTCCAGGCTACCACCACTGGTGATAACATCACACAAGCAGCTCATAAGGGAATACACACTGTCTGAGAAAACACTGCTTTCCCACTTAATCCTTTAGATGTTTTGATCAAATTATAATCCTCCTTTCTTCATATTTCAGTTTCTTCTTTAAAGCCAGCATTGATCTTCAACTTTAAATTCACCTCAGTGGAAATACCAGGACAGTGACACATGTTGACCTGACTAAAGAGGGAGGGAACCTACACACACACACACACACACACACACACACACACACACACACACACACCTCACACAGACGCCCTCTCCCGCCCACTTACTACTAATCACAGACTCACACTCTTTCTGTGACACAGAGCAGCCCGGCTCACACAGAGAGAAGTGCAACAGATGAAAGGAATAACCGACTCTAATAGATGGAAAGAATAGAGGAGAAGAAAGAATAACCAAGAGAACAAGATCACCAGAGAGCACCGGGATTAACTTTTATTCTCTTTTCTCTCGCATGGACAGAAAGAGGCACATTCAGCCTTTTGTTGCATCACATCTGGATTATGCCTGACTTGCTTCTGTATTCAGACTAATTGAACTGCATTGACTTCAGCCCCTCAGTCAAACTTTTGAGTGTCTCTAGCATGTCCTGGGACTGTGGTCTGAGATATATCTTCATGCCCCCTGTGCTGCAGCTTGGCGGAGTGTGTGCATTACGGGATGGCGGTGGCAGCGGCAGTGGAGGAATGGGGAACGGATGCAGCCGTGAGGAGCTGACCAGCCGGCTAGGACTGGAGGCTGTGCAGCGACTGGCCAAAGACGGCTGTCGGCTGCTGCAGAACCACAACTACCGTCTACCAGACAGGAACCAAGCGGTCAGTAGAGTCTGGTCACTGAGGCTTTAACACCATGATGACGATATTCTTCAGACTCTTAACATGTAATCTGCAGAACAAGTTGTGGCTGTGTGGTTAGCATGAGTGGGATGTAATAGACGTCATGTGGTGTCATTACTACCGTCACTTTCTAAACACACATTCACCTCAGGTCAGAGTTCGTCATGGATTTATAGAGGTCAGTTCTCACTAGCATCATCATGATTGGTGTTTTTGTCACTCAAAGTATGAATGACAGTATAAAAGATGTGTGTGTATGCACGCATTGTGTGTGTGTACGCGAGTGCGTGTACATCTGTGTGTGTGCATGCATGTGTGTGCATGCATGTGTGTGTGTGTGTGTGTGTGTGTGTGTGTGTGTATGTGTGTACGTGTATGTGTGTACGTGTGTGTATAAGCGCTCTGTGGCAAGCTGACTTGGTGTGTGCTCATAATGAGTGGGTTGTTGTACTGTATAATCCCACTCTATGGCACACCTAAGGGCAGAAAATGAAGCGAACGCTGGCTGGTTTCACGCTGCATCACGACACTTTTTTGTTAAAGCTCATCACCTCAGTGAGTTCTTCTGAAGACCAGCTGCAGGAATTTTCTAGTGTGCATATTTTCGCTTTCGTTCCTCCACAATAATACAAAACAAGATGGCACAAAGATATGCAGAAATGTTAAAGCTATGATGCAGTGCCAAGAGGGTTTAATTAGGCTCTACAGAAACAGATGCTGTGAAATTGCAAACCACAATCTATTCTCACTCAGAATAATTCAGGGTACATCACTGCAAATCCTTTTTATTGGCCTTTTTCAGAATATCAAAGCTTTTGCAAACATATGTTTCAGTTGTTGCACACACTGGATCTGTTTTATATGATTCCGTTGAAGCACAGTAACTGTATATCTTTAAAGTGGTACTTCACCAAAAAAAATATATCTATATCTATATCTATCTATATATATATATATATATATATATATATATATATATATATATATTCCTAATTATATTTAATCACTCTGGGTTTAACATGCAGGCTGAGCATTAAAATAGTGTTCTACACCTGTTTTCCGCATTAGCTTCCGATAACAGGGCTCTGCGATATGGAAAAATCCCTATCAAGACATTAATTTTCATACTGATCAATATCAATCAGGATATTAAACAAATAGCTATTTTTTGGCAATCTTGAATATTCTATTATATTTTAAATTGAGATAAGAAGATGTCAAATGGTAATTTTTTATAGTTTAATTTTCAAAAGCTGAATAAACTTTATATAACTGTTTTAGATTAATAAGAGGTTATTTTAAACTAAAACCTTCAAGTTAGAGAACAGAACTCAATAAAACAGACTTATTTTAAATATAGTTTCCTTAGGAATAAACAATAATAAAAAATAAAAGGTAGAAAACAATCAGTGTTTTATGTCAGTGAAAATTTAAGAAAAAAATCAAAACAATAAAATGGACATCATCTATGCTCAGAAAGAACAGAATTTTAAATTTTGTAGTTCTATTTTGTCTAGTCTTAGCCATTAAGCTAGCTGCTATTGGAAGGGTGATCTCAGCATCAGCCAATCATGAAGAGCTTAAATGTAAGCCCACCAATAGTGGGTACCCCCGTGGGTATATAAGTGGAGCGACTCCACTGTTCACCTCCCCTATCTCTTCAAGTCGAGCTTAAGAGCTATTATTAAAGAGCATTATCCAAGAGAAAATTATTCTACTCACCAACCATGTCCAGCGACGTCAGGACCTGCCCGGCCTGCCAAACGGACTTCATCTCCAGCGGTGCCCTTCACGCCAAATGTCTCAGGGCTCCTCACACTGGCCTGGCCTTTACCCCTCAGGCCTCGTACCCGTTTTGTGCCGCTCTGCCCATAGCTGAAAAAATCCGCCGGGTCGAGTACTTCACCTCCACTGCCAATGAGGAATTTCCGGTGGCTGACACGTACTCGCTGGACAAAGCCTTACAGTTCTTCAATGTCGGTCTGGAGCCGGCTGGCTCCAACCGACTAGAAGTTGACAGCGACCTTGAGGAATACGACGAGGCTGGCTGCCATAGCCCTCCATCCCTCCTGGAAAACATGGAGGTCGACGAGCCTCCCTCAGCAGGTTCCTCTGCTCTAGTACCTTCACGCTCCTCCCTGCCAGCAGTCAGAGCACTGCTCCAGGAGCTACTGGTCATCATCTCCGCGTTCCGCAAGGAGCTAGCCGTCCCAGAACCGGCTCCACCTGAAGCAGATGATTTGGCGGGAAGTTTTGGGGCTACACAAACATGCTGTCCAAACCCCATCTGGCCATCTCGCTTCCCCGGTGCCATGAGCTGCTGGTCCGCCGCCTTCTCCGAGCCTGCTAAGCTCAAAGCACTAGTCTCCACATATGGGCCCATAACCAAAGTTGAGGGCTTCTCCGACAAGGGCAGTCCAACCGTTCCTCCACTGGAGCCAGACCTGGCCTCGCTGTTTGGCGCCAAGATCCACCTCGCTGGCCAGTGAGCAGTTCCCGCTTCCAAACATGACCAGCTCCTGGCACGTCTCACCGATCGCACACACCAGTGCGCCTTCCAGACCAGCGCTGCAGGAAATAACATCGCCCTTCTTGCCTTTGGCATCTCCAAAATGGTAGAAGAGCTCAAGGCTCCCGACGAGTCAAAAAACATCATTAGCAAGACTGCTTATGCCATTCTCAATCTGTGCACTGCTGTACTCACCGGTTCTGCTTGCATTGCTGCCTGGCAAACCCTTATCCAGCGGGCCTTGTGGCTCAAGGCCCTGCCCTCCATTCCTAAACACCTGCACAGAGAAATGCTGGAAGGCCCCATCACCTCTGACGTTCTGTTTGGTCCCCATCTGAGGAGCGCCATCGAGAGAGCTCAAAAGACAGCTGAACTGTCAGCCACTTTGAGAGACCTGGTCTGCCCCCGGTCCACCTCTCACTCTGGCCGCTCCTCCAGAGGATGGGACAAACACCAGGGCCAGCGGGGAAATTTCAAACGCCCAGCTGCGCCACCTGCCCCTCGGAGCTGGCCTTCTGCTTCGGCTCCACCTCAGCGGGACCAGAAATCTGACAACCAATGGTTCAGAAAGAACCAGCAGATATCATCCTGGCCTTCTCAGTCACAAGAACCTTGCCGAAAGCAACCAAGAAAATGACTTGGTGGGGGAATGTGTGTGTTAATGACTGTAATGTTAACTCTGTGGCTGATGTTGTTTTTGAAAAAAACCCAAACAACGTTATATTGAGAGCAAAATCCTAGTCCTCTGCAGAATCTTCTGCTGAATCCTCACACATGTTCCCCACACCAAACACTATGAAACACCTGCATGTTCACACAGTCAATCACATGACATGCCCACAGTCAGCTGTAAAGGTGCGTTCCATTTGCACGCCGGTCCTAGCTTCCAGCCAGGCCCAACACATCCTGCTCCCCCCACAACTTAGGGTGGGATGGGATGTCATGACGCTATCGCGACCACGCGTGGCGTCACAGTGCGCGGCTCCATCCGCTGGCACTTTATCGTCCCCATGCACGGGCCCGGCTCCCAATCGTCCTTTATCTTTGGACACCACGCTCCGCTGTGCAAATCAGCCTCTCCCAGCTGTTTCACACTCGCGCTTTCGAGCGCAGCCCTCCATGGGTCGCTCCCAGTTCTCTTCTGGTGCGACCAACGGCGGTAAGGGCATGAACCCAGTCCTTAGATATAGTTCAGGTGACCTCGAAGACGCGTCCACTGTTGGAACACGCACAAGTATGGCGCCACCTTTGTCACATAAACAAATGGATATCGGACACCATTCATTATGGTCACACACTCCATTTTCAGTCCACCCCTCCTCCCTTCAACGAGATTGTGGAGACGGAACTCACATCACAGGAACAATCTCAGGCCCTAGAGCTGGAGCTACGGGAACTTCTGTCCAAAGAAGCCATTTCCCAAGTTCCTCGCAGGCAAGAAACCTCGAGCTTCTACTCCCGCTACTTTGTAGTACCGAAAAAGTCAGGAGGAATGAGACTAATACTCGACCTTTCCCTGTTCAACTGCTCCATAGCAGTGATGCATTTCCGCATGTTAACAATGAGACAAGTCCTAGAAGTCTTTTTCAACCACTGTGCCGCGGCACACTTGTGTGCCATGAGAGGTCGTTAGGTGTGCCGTGGAAAATTATCCAATTTCACCTTATTTGTCTAAAGATATTTTTTCAAACAAATGTATTATTATCGGCAAATAATATGCCGTTGAGTGTGCTGTAGTAGTGACTGGCAGTGTGAAGACGAGTCCTTACCACTAGATGGCAGCATTGTATTGCATTGAACATTAAGACAAGATAATTAGTTATGCATGAATGTGACAGGTAGCGGTGACAGCATTTTGGCTAGCAATACTGCAGTGACAGGGATGGAGAAGTTTTTGAAAAGGAAAAATTATAGCTCAGAACTGGGCCCTGAATAAAATTCAGACCTAGATGAAGGCCCTAGTGGAGGTCAAAAGAAGGCAAATACGGTGAGCTCGGTGGGGAAATACAGAGAGAGCTACGTTTCGTTTGGATTCACTTTCACCGAGGATGAAACGAGACCAACTCCGTTGTGCTTGGTGTGTAGTGAAAAGCTATCCAACAGTGCTATGATGCCAAGCAAGCTTAAACGCCATCTCCAAACAAAACACCCTTCACTTCAAAACAAGAATGCAGACTGTTTTGTTCGCCTGCGTAAAAACACAGAGAAACGGGCATCTTTTATGAAAAAACCACAAAGGTAAATGAGAGAGCTCTTAAAGCTAGCTACCACGTAGCTGAACTTGTAGCCAAATCAAAAGTCCCACACGGTGGCAGAGACATTAATATTACCTGCCTGCAAAGCCATTGTAAATGAGATGCTAGGACCTGAAGCAGTAAAAGAAATAGCCAAAGTCCCTCTCTCAGATAACACAATGTCCAGACGTATTGATGACATGTCTGCTGACATCGAAAGTGTGGTTTTGGAAAAG